AAAGAAAGGGAATACAGCAAGGGGGCTTTTAGAGTTAGGTCTTCCAGGCCCAGTGAGGTTGAACCTTTTAGAGACCCAGTGCCAACACTGCAAATGGTGTTTTGTAGAATTTTACATAAATGAAATCATACAGCATGTACTCCTTTTTCATCTGTCTTCTGCACCCATGATAAGAATTTTGAGATGCATCCTTCTCATTGCATGTATTATTAGACATTTCTCTTTAGTATTGAGTATTACTCTATTGTACGGCTGCGGGATAATTTGCTTATTAACTGACCTGCTGAAGGGGTTTGTGATAGTTAATCTTTGTTTTGTACCGGGAAGCGAACTCAGGACCTCACACTTGCCGGGCAGGTGCTGTGCCACTGAGCTAATTCCCTGGCTCTATATGATGGTTAATCTTGATTGTCAGCTCAACTGACTTGAGAGCACACTTCTTTTTTTTTTTTTGTTTGCTTGTTTGTAAACAAATCAGTAAAGCACACTTTTTTTTTCTTGTTTGTTTGTTTGCTTGAGACAAGGTCTCCTCTGCAGTTCAGGCTGGGCTTGAATTCACTATGTAGCCAAGGCTGGTCTCAAACTTGTGGCCATCCTCCTGCTTCAGCTTCCAGAGTGCTGGGATTACAGGTGTGCGCCAAGTAACCCACATTTCTGTGTGTATCTTAGTAAGTCATGGCCGTGTGCCCTTGGGGATTCCGGTCTCTGGCCCCTTCCTCTCAGCCTCTTTCACTGTCTCTCTGTTTCCTGGCTGCCATGAAGGGAGCGGCTTTGTGCCACTACATTCTTCTGCCAAGATATGTCCGCTTTGGAGCTAGTCTCACATGGACTGAAATCTCTGAAACCCGGAGCAAAAATAAACATTTTCTTCTTTAAGATGTGGATGTGAAGTATTTTGTCCCAGTTATGGAGAAGTGACTAATACAGAAAACAGGTACCGGGAGAGGGGCGATTGCAGTGACTACACCTGACCATCCGGTTCACAACCCTTTGAACTGGTTTTGCAGAGGAATTTGGAAAAGTTTGGAGAAGCAGGCTGGAAAAAGTTTCGAGTGCCATAAGCCTTGTTTGGTGGGTGATTTTTGTGGGATCTCAGATCAGAATGCTGCTAGGAATGAGGACAGTATAGATCGTGCTCATGAGCTTTCAGATAGGAGCAAGGATGCAATTGGAATTGGACTAGAGGCTGTGCACGTTCCAGTCCAGCAAAGAGCTTGTCAGCATCTTGTCCATGTTCTGAGACTCTGTGGGAGACTGAGTTTAAAGATGATTTCAGAAGGCCTGGAAGGGGCTGGGGATTTAGCTCAGCGGCACAGTGCCTGCCTGGCAAGCGCAAGGTCGTGAGTTCAATTCCCGGTTCCGGAAAAAAAACAACAACAAAAAAGAAGGCCTGGAAGACCAGGCAGTGTGTGACAAGTTTGAAGCAGGAAGCTGGGGAGTGAGTCCAAAACAGCAATGCAGACTCCAGGAAGGTGGAGATGCCGCACATGCGGAGCGTCTGTTCAGGAAAGCTGCAGGCAGTGATCACAGCCAACCCAGTAGAAAGACTGTGGGGGCCGTAACTGGCAAGGCACGGGACAGGGCTGCTCCTGCTCTTTCTTTTTTTTCTTTGGTACTGGAATCGAGCTCAGGACCTTGTTCTTGCCAGGCAGGCACTTATGCCGCTGAGCTATATCCCCGGCCCTCGCTCCTGCTCTTTGAAGTTCACATCATGCCACTTCATGCCTCAGATACTGGTCACTAGCTGCAGGATTTAATGTTTGCCCTGCTGGACTTCAGTCTTGCTTTGGTCAGAATCTTTTCTATTTCCTTCTTCTTCCCTTTGGGAACAGGAATATTTACCTGGTGCCATTGTACCTTGGCTTGTTAAATTTCACAGGGGTGGCAGAGTGTGGTTGTGCACACCGGTAATCAATGCCAGCACATGAGAGGTTGGGGCAGGAGAATCACTGCAAGTTTGAGGCCAGGTGGGCTACACAGTGAGTTCAAGGCCAGCCTGAATTTCATAGCGAGACCACCTCAAACAAACAATTAGATTTTACAGAGGTTCATAGCTAAGAGTTTGAGATTTTGAACTTGGACTTTTCAGCAGCACTGGGACTTGGAAGGAATCAGGGCATTTTATTTGGTGTGCACTGCAGTTATATATGTCAGGAAGAATTATGACTTTGTTATTGTCTCTATTTTGAGATTAAATATGGTTTAAGGAGTCAGTCATGTCTGGGTGTCAAGTTGACAAGAGGTAGACATGTGCTGGTTAATCTTTTCTTTTCTCTCTTTTTTTTTTTTTTTTGGTCTTTTTGAGACAGGGACTCGCTATGCAGTTCAGGCTGGCCTTGAGCTCACTTTGTAGCCCAGGCTGGTCTTGAATTTGCAACGATCTTCCTGCCTCAGCCTCCCACGTGCTAGGATTACAGGCGTGTGCCACCATGCCCAGCTGTGCTGGTTAATCTTGACTGTCAACATAATGGCTTGAGAGATGCCTAGGAAAGTAGTCTTCTGGGTATGTCTGTGTGGGTCATGGGGGCACCACCTTGGGGACTAATACCTAGCCCCTGGTTTTTTCCTTTTCAGCTTTTCCTGTCTTTGCTTCCTTCGACCATGAAGTGAGCAGCTTTGCTCCTCTGTGCCCTTCTGCCGTGATATCTCCACCAATGCATCCTGCAACTGTGAGCCAAAATGAAAGTTTTCATGCCAGGTGTTTTGCATGCCATTTGCATCAGTGGAAAAGTGATTAATGTAAGATTGGAGGAGGAGTACATGTGTGGTGCTAAAGATCGAACCCAGGGCCTTGTACATGCAAAGCAAGAGCTCTGCCACTGAGCCATACCCCCAGGCCCAGAGGAGAAGTATGGGGGGGTTGATATTATAAGAAAGCTAAATCATTATAGCCACATTAATGAATACTGTTTAAAATTATTAAATCTAAAAATAGGTATACACCCAGCATGGTGGCACATGCCTATAATCCTAGCACTTGGAAGGCTGAGGCAGGAGGACTGCTGTGAATTCCAGGCCAGCCTGGGGCACATAGTGAGTTCAAGGCCAGGCTGAACTACATAGTGAGTAGTCTCAAAAAAACAAAAAACAAAACCCTCAAAAATAAAAATAGCTATACAAGCATATAAGAGTATTTAAAAATAAGGATGTATTTATAATGCTACAAGAGTTTTGCAAATAGCTGCTGCTAGATTATAGACCTGGAGTATAAAACAGAAATCAATTGTTTTTGATAGTAAGTTTTTAAATGTTCTTTGACATTTTTTAACCAAGCAAGGCATTTCTTTGATAAATATAATAATTAAAAACAATAATTTGTAAAAGTATGGGTCAGCTTGGGGCCTTGCCTTGAAACTTGCTGAATGAAGCTACTGAAAAGGAAAGGAAAGGAAAATTAAGTTGCAGTTAGCCAAATGGGGAAGATAATCTAAAATGACATGGATATACTGTAAACTGTGAATTACTTTATAAATGTGAGAATTCATTTAATTCAAAATTGACAAATGCCATGTGCTCCTAAGTAAGAATTACATAAACACTATATATCTAAAAATAAAGTCGAGTGTGGTGATACATGCCTATAATTCCAGCACTTAGGAAGTTGAAGCAGGAGGATCACAATGAGTTTGAGGCCAGCCGGGGCTACACAGCAAGACCCTGTCTCAGAAAACAAAACAGAACAAAACAAAACACAAAACTAATATCAACAACAAAACCCCCAGTACTAAATAAACTCAATATAAATGCTTAACTCAATGCAGTTTACATGTTTTGTAATTCAAAAGAATAACAAACACTAGAAACATATATAGTAGCCTTGCCATTTTTCCTTGTGTATCCTAGAGAAACATTACATGTAATCAAGGAGACAGTGACAAGACTGTGCATTGGCTGCTTATTAAGTGGCAGAAACTTGGGAGACAATCTAAATGTTAATCATTAAGGAAATGAGTAACTAGATGTGCATACTTGGATGGAATGTGAGGAAAGGGAATGAATAAAATCTCTATGTATCATGAACGGCTCTTGAAAACAATATTGAGTGAAAAAGTATCAAATTGCCGAGTGATATTTAGTGTTACCACTCACGTAAATAAAACCAAACTAATGATTTTTCTTTGGATAGATATGTAAAAGTCTTTTCTAGAAGTATAAGCAATACAGCAGAGCATGGTGGTACTTGCCTGTAATTCTAGCACTCAGAAGGCTGAGGCAGGAGAATCATGGAATGCAGCCCAGCTTGGGCTACAAAACAAGACCCTGTGAAAGAAAGAAAGAAAGAAAGAAAGAAAGAAAGAAAGAAAGAAAGAAAGAAAGAAAGAAAGAAAGAAAGAAAGAAAGAAGGAAAGAAGGAAAGAAAGAAAGAAAGAAAGAAGGAAAGAAAGAAGAGAAAAGAAAAAGGAAGGAAGGAAAGAAGGAAGGAAGGGGAGGGGAGAGAAAGAAAAAAGGAAGAAAGAAAAAAGAAAGAAAGAAAAAGAGGGGCTGGGGATTTAGCTCAGCGGCAAAGTGCCTGCCTGGCAAGCGCAAGGTCGTGAGTTCGGTTCCCGGTACCGAAGAAAAACCAAAAAAAAAAAAAAAAAAAAAAAAAAAAAAAAAGAAAGAAAAAGGAAGGAAGGAAGGAAGGAAAGAAGAGAGAGGGACGAGACAAAGAGAAAAAAAAAAGGAAGGAAAGAAGAAAGAAGAAAGAAAGGGAAAGAAAAAGAAAGAAAAAAGGAAGGAAGAGAGGAAGGAAGAAAGGACAGACCTTGGTAATAATGGCTATAGTTGTGGAGAAGAAAAGATCTCAGTTTGACGTTCTTTGACTAAGTGGCCTTAGTCAAAGCCAGACCTCAAGATGAAACTGGCTATCGGACAGAAGTTTGAATTTCTAAATTCCCGGCTGTTTTTAAACCCTGTGATGCAATTAGTCCCGCCTCTTGGAGTTCGCCAAAGGATGTAGTTTGTCCCTCCGGACTCTCCGTCCGCGCAACCTCCAGAAAGCCGCCGTAAGTTCCGCCCCCTAAGCTCTGGACGGCGCGAAAACCCAATTGACAAGAACTCCCGCCGAAGCCCCGCGGTCCGGTCTGCGTGCTGTCGGCTGTCCCCGCCCGGGCCCTGGTCCCGAGCGCTCAGCCTGGAGCGCCTGTCTCGGGGGCCCTCTGTATTCGCCGGCCGCACCCCAGCAGCCTCGCTGCCCGCGCTTTCTCGCTGCCTCTTTCCGCGTCCGGCTTCACCGAGCTGGGCCCAGCGTCCTTCTCGCTTCTCGCCGGTGGGCGCGGGAGAACCTGAGACCGAGCCGGTGGCCTGCACAGAGCGGGCCGCCCCAATGGCCTCCAGGCGGGCCGGGCCGGGCCGCAGAAGGTCCTAGGAGCTGCGATTCTGGGAGGCGGTGAGCATGGTGGGGGTCCTGGCCATGGCGGCTGCTCCCCCTGCCGTGAAAGACTACGAGATCGAGGTGAGGGCGAATCTGTCAGGTTCCTTCCTTGGTCTGTTGGAGGATTGTAGGGTGAGTGGGAGGGGATCCTGAGTTGTTTTTTTTTTTTGTACCGGGAATTGAACTCGGGACAGTGTGCTTGCCAGGCAGGCGCTTATGCTGCCGAGCTGGATCCCCGGGATCCTGAGTGTGTATGTGGGCGTGGGGGAGGAGGGACGTGGTGACGTCCCACAGTTACGACTTTGTGCGGGGCAGTTGCCCTAGGGTGTCATTTCTGAGTCGCGATACGTCCTGGCAGACGTTGGGATTGTGAGATGTCTGCGGGATCGCGGTAAATCAGCACTTGTGAAAACGCAGCCAGTTCTCGGATCCTCAAGTGTTGGTGGAATGTGTGGTTTCGGGCTTCGGACGTGTCACGAAGGATCCCGGGGTTAAATCTCTGGGTTTCTGATACGGAATCGTAGAACTTTAGCGTTCAAAAAGTCTTTTCAGTTCGGCTAGTCCATACACCTGCTTGTCCTAGGAATTATATTTAGAATGTCACTACAGGAATCAAACATCACTTGCTAAGGAAACCAATTTCTCATGCCTGCAGAGCTTAATGTACTGCAGTTAGGAGTCCCGGAGTGATATGCTGATGTTCTCTTGTATTTTTCAGGTTTCCGTGACTAAGCAGTCATTATGAATGCTTGGAAGTAGTGCGTTAGCATCTTAAGATATACTGTAGTGTATTTTTACACTTTTTCAATTTACACTGATGTCTGTCTTGGTGGTGTTGAACTGAGCTAAGATGTGCATCCACTTAACTGTGGACTTTCTCATTTTTTATAATCAAGCAACTGTCTAATTTTTTTTTCAGTATTGGGGATTGAACTCAAGACCTTTACGCTGAGCTACATCTCCAGCCCTTTATTTTTTGATACCAGGAATCGAACTCAGGACCTGGAGCTTTCCAGGCAGGCGCTGTGTCACTGAGCTATATCCCCAACCCCTTGTCAGTGATTTTTATCCCTTGAGTTCTTCATCCAAGTCATGACCTTCTGTGGGAAAGGCCTCACAAAGTTTCCATTAAATCAAGTGCTAACTGAAGACTCACGAGGGGGCGGGGGGCAAACAAAAATGATAACAGTTAAGAATGATTGTCCACACAGAAGTGATGAAAAATTGCAGACACCAAAATTCAGATGTTTCTTTATTTCACATGAGTGCCTTAAGTATGTCTGAAGATTTATTTTATTTTATTTATTTATTTTGTCTTTTTGAGACAGGGTCTCGCTATGCAGTTCAGGCTGGCCTTGAGCTCACTTTGTAGCCCAGTCTGGTCTTGAACTCTCAACAATCCTCCTGCCTCAGCCTCCCCAGTGCTGGGATTACAGGCGTGCACCACTGCGCCCGGCTAAAGATTCATTTTAGAAACAACCCTGTCTGTTACCAAGTGCACATGTTATTTATGTATTGTCTGTATACTCCAATTGGTCATTCAGCAACAAGTCTTTTTTTCTCTGTATTTTTTTTTTTGGGTACCAGGAATCAAACTCAGGACCTTGTGCTTGCCAAGGAGGTGTTGTGCCACTGAGCTGTATCCCTGGCCACTCAGCAACAAGTCTTGAGTTCATCTGTTTACGCAGGCATTTATCTCTTCTCCAGAGGCATTTGCTTGGATATTTACAAATATTTAATTAAAAGTTATAGTATCATTTAAGTATGGTCAATACTATTATTTATATTTAACTATATATTATTTTATAATTTAATACATCTATTGTGTTTTGCAACAGATGTGCTAAATAGGTGTGTCTGGCTGACAGTCCTAACTGGAGCTTAATTTTGGGGTAGGCCTTTCATTACGAGCATCTTTTTTTTTTTTTGTCTTTTTGAGACATGGTCTCGCTATGCCGTTCAGGCTGGCCTTGAGCTCACTTTGTAGCCCAGGCTGGTCTCAATCTCGCAACGATCCTCCCGCTTCAGCCTCCTGAATGCTGGGATTACAGGTGTGCACCACCATGCCTGGCCTATGAGCATCTTTAAAAGTCAAGCCAAAGCTTTTCTATGTGTGTGTGTGTAGGGGAGTTTATTTTTTGAGACAGTGTCTGATTACGTAGTTCAGTCTGGCCTTGAACTCACTTTGTAGCTCTGGCCGGCTTCAAACTCTCAGTGATCTTACCTCAGTCTCCTGAGTGCTGGAATTACAGGTGTGTGCCAGCATGCCTGGCAATCATGATAGCTTTGTAATACAGTTTAATTTTCTAAAAATACACATTCCCTCTTATTTAAGAAAAAAAAAAGCTCTTGAGCCAGGCATGAAGGCATACATCTGTAGTCCTAGCACTCAGGAGTGTGAAGTAGGTGGATAACTTCGAGTTCAAGGCCAGCCAAGTTCAAGGTCAGCATCGACTATATAGCAAGACCCTGTCTCAAAAACAAACAACAACAATAAAGTGCTTGTTATCCTGGGCAGATTTATTCTAACAAATGAACTGAAAGAAGTTAAAAACGGATGGAGGGCTGTAGCTCAGTGGCAAAGTATATATACAAGACTCTGGGTTCTATTCGTATCACCACCAAGAAAAAGAAAAAAAAAGAAAAAAGGAGAAAGAGCTTTTTCTAAGCAGCAAAGTAGTAAGTGAAAGGGCTTTATAATTAGTTTATATTTTTTAGAATTAAGGTATGCCACAAATGGAGCCTAAAGTAAAATGGAAAATAACGTTTTTCTAAAGACAAGCTTAGAAATTTCAGTCCAGCAAGTGTTCACTTTCTGTGGTAGAAAGATTGATTCATACCCAGCTGGTAGGCCACCATTCACAGGTGCAGTCAAGAAAAGGTTACAGATCACCAAAAACAAGACCAGTGAATCCATCCTATGTTACAGTACGTGTTTCCCACTTCAAATCACCTTTATTCAGAGGTAAACTTACAAGGCCTTTGTAATATATAAATACATGCACTGCCTAAAGTAAAACCTTTGTAAGGTATATAGATATATGCACTGCCTAAAGCAGAATCACTGCCACTGGTAAAGCTGCAGCTATATGGAAGCCTGTATCACATTCAAGATCCTCTGAAAGAGCCAATCATGGTGACATGTACCTATGGTTCTAGCACTCAGAGGCCAAAGCAGGAAGATTATAACAGTGTTCAAGTAGATTCCTTTCTCCTTCCGGAAGTTGGTTAATTTTTCTGGTTATTATATTCAAATGTGAGGTTAAAATTAATTTTTCTGGTTATGATATTAAAATCCAGTTATCGTATTAAAATAAGTTTTTTTTTCTTTGTTTTTTTGAGACAGGGTCTCTATAGTTCAGGCTGCCCCTGAACTCACTGTGTAGCCCAGGCTGGCCTCAAACTTGTGGCAGTCCTCCTGCCTGAGCCTGTCAGTGCTGGGATTACAGACATGTGCCACCACACCCGGCTAAAATTTAAGTTTTCCTTCCTAGTGTCTGGTTCGCGATTTTCTGTCTTGAGCCTTGTACTCTCCTCCCAGCAGCCACGGGCTCGCCTGGTCCTCCTCAGCCATACCTGGGTTCATTGCAACCTCTGCTCAACCTTGCCTAGGTACAGAGGTCATTGCTGACTGCAAGATACTGATTTATGTCCAACATGAATATGACTGTGTAGCATTATAGTCACCTTGATACTATGGGGTATTGTAATAGCCAATTCAGGAGGTAGGTGGTAACTATTTTAGTGGCAAATGTTATTTTGGTGATTTTTTATTTTTCTTAACCATAATTTCCACATGATTTAGTAAATTTTAGGGCCCTGGACTCGTTCTCTGACTGGTTTTTTAGAAATAGTTAGAGTAATGTGTTTATTTTTAACTGAAAAAGGTAAAATGGCATGCACCTGTGGTCCCAGTTACTCAAGAGATTGAGGCATGAGGATCACGAGTTTCTAGCCAACCTGGGCAACTGGGCTGGGGACACAGCTTAGCGGCACAGCACCTGCCTGGCAAGCACAAGGTCCTGAGTTCAATTCTTGGTACCAAAAACAAAAACAAATAAACAGCCTGGGCAACTTAGTGAGACACTATCTCAAAACAAAACCAAACCATCAGGCCCGTTGGTATATTCAGGTAACTCTAGTTGCTCTGGGAGCTGAGGCAGGAGGATTGCAAGTTTGAAGCTAGCCAGGGCAATTTAGCAAGACACTGTCTCAAAATTAAAAGGGCTGAGGATATAGCTCAGTGGAAGAGTAAGCATGGGACCCTAGATTCAATCCCCAGAACAAAAAAAGAAAGAAAAGGATGGACTTGATATTTGTAGCGTTCCTATCGTGTGTTGGATTCATGTAGTTTGTTTTTTTTTCCATTTTGAGACAGGGTCTTGCTGTGCAGTTCAGGCTGGCCTTGAGCTCACTTTGTAGCCTAGGCTGGTCTTGAACTCACAGTGATCCTCCTGCCTCAGCCTCCCAAGTGCTGGGATTACAGGTGTGTGCCACCACGCCTGGCCCATGTATTGTTATATATTTATTATAAATTCTATGAAGTGGGTGGTGCTGTTCAAAGATTATGAACAGAGACCAAAAGAAATTAATAAATTTTCTTTTTTTTTTTTTTTTTTTTTTTTCTCTGGTACCGGGAACCGAACTCACGACCTTGCGCTTGCCAGGCAGGCGCTTCTGCCGCTGAGCTAAATCCCCAGCCCCTAAATTTTCTTGTAAGTGTAGTGGTCTTGGTTTTATTTCAATATAAACTTTTTGTTGAAGTATTATATATATGTATACTAAAGTATACAGATTGAGTATAAAATTTGATTTGACACAGATTGAGTATAAAATTTGATTTGACTTTGAAACTGGCATGTAGGTTTAATGTTCTTTATCTTTTGCAGTGCTGGGTATTGAACCTAGGCACTCATGCATGCTAGGAAAGTGCTTTACCACTAAACTGTTTTCCCAGCACTGAGTTTTTTGTTTTGTTTTCTTTTGGTACCAGGAATTGAACTCAGGACCTTGCACTTGCCAGGCAAGCACTGTGCCCTTGAGCTATCTCCCCAGCTCCTAGCACTGAGTTTGACTTTAAAGCTTCTTTTCTTTCTTTCTGGCTTGCTTGCAGTACTGGGAATTGAACCCAGGGCCTTTCTACTTGGCTGTAGTCCAGCCCTTTTTTTATTGTGAGACATGGTCTCACTAAGCTGGCAGGCTGGGCTTGAACTTATCCTGCCTCAGCCTCCTAGAGTGCTGGTATTATGGATATGTGCTACCACACATGGCCGCATTTTCTTTCTAATATATCATGTTTTTCACCAAAAGGCACCTTCCTTTTTTTAAAATCTAGCTACCTAAAGTTTTAGATTTATGTTTAAAATTTGTATTTTATATTATTTCCTTAAAATAAATGCCTTGTTTTTCTTCTTTTAAATTGTTAGCCATGCAAAAAACGAAGGAAAGATGATGACAGATCTTCCTGTAAAACAATTACAAAATATTTATCACCAATAGAGAAGACTGGAGACAGGGTTTTTTCTCCACCAAAATCCAGCAATATTTTAAATTATTTTAGAAAGACTTCCCCCACAAATGAGAAGGTACAATCAGCGAAAGAGGGCAAGATAAAATCTTCTGCACCGTCTCCTGTTAACAGTACCGGCAACTGTAAGAAACCTTTGGGACTGTTCTCAAATACAGAGATTAAGAAGAAACGAAGGAGGGTTAATTTATCTCATCAGCTAAATAATATTAAAATTGAGAATGAATTCTCAATTGAAATTAATAGTGATCATAGCAAAGATGATTCTAGTTTAAATAATGATGTTGTGGAAAGTAGTACTTCTGTTCTACTTTGCAAGAAACACGTAGATTCTCATGCAGAAAGTATCCAAGATACCAAAACACAGACACATATTATGATCTCCAAAAAAAATTCTAAGAAAGTAAGTAAGAAAAATGATTGCAGAAAGTTGAGGAAAAGGAAACAGAGGGAGGTAATATCTCTAACTGAATATTTACCCTTGCCAGAAGGACTAAGTCTACTTAAAAAAGATGGTAAAGATAATAAACAGATAATGCCTTCCCTAACTAATGAAATTGAGACTACTACAAATGATGCAAACTCCAGTGATCATGTAACTGAAATGGGCCATTTAAATAATGGTACAATAACTATCTCATATGAGGAGTTCTTAAAAAGTCACAAAGAAGGCAAAGTGGAACAAACACCAGACTCTACAATGTCAGTTTGTGTTCCTTCTGAAAGTGTTGAAGGAATAGTCAGAAGTGGTTGTATAAGTGAATCTGAAAACTGTGAAATATCTCAGCAGTTACACTTGAAGACAGTCACTGTTCTTGCACAAGTTCATCCCATTCCCCCAAAAAAGGCAGGGAAAATACCCTCAATTTTCTTGAAGCAAAAGCATTCTGAGCTAGAAAACAGCCTATCTGATCCTGAGAGTGAACAGACAACTCAGAAAAGAAAATCTAATGTTGTTATAGAGGAGGAAGAGTTGGAATTGGCAGTGTTGGAAGCTGGAAGTTCTGAAGCTGTGAGACCCAAATGTACCCTAGAAGAGAGACAGCAGTTTATGAAAGCATTTAGGCAGCCTGCGGCAGATGCGCATAAAAACGGAGTCAAAAAGCCTTCAGATAAGCAGAAAGATGACAATGGAAAATCTTTAAATGAGGAAGAAAGCGATAATAATTCTAAAAAAATCATGGGCAATCCTAACAGCCAAATGGTTTCAAATAATGGCAGCTCACAGTCACACACTGATAAAGAAAGTTTTCTTAAGAAGAAGAGTAAAAAGGAGAAGAAAATATTAGATACAGGGACTATTGAAGGTGAGACCGGAGAGGAATGTACTCAAAAACAAAAAACAACTTTTTGCTTAAAAGAGAAGCAAAATCCAAATAGGCTTAGAATGAATTTAAGGCAAAAGAATTCAGAAACTTTCAAAAGCAGTATATTATTTAACAGCAAAAGTCTCCATGAAGCAAATGATGAGCCTTTAAAAATTTCCTCTCTGTGTAACAACAATAAATCATCAAGAAAAACCAGCACGCCTGTTAAAGGTGGTAAATTTATACATTCTAAAGCCAAGTGTGAAAACAGGTTGGAAAATGTTTCCACTCCCAGATCTACCAGAAGGTCTACGAGATGTAGCAGCGCATCTACTGCAGTGACCTTCAGAGGTACCGACTCTGAAGATGCACAGGACAGTAGCCCAGGAAAGCCTTCCACTCCTGCATCAGAAAAACACAGCCTATACACGGCGGAATTGATAACGATATCCTCCGATTCAGAGAGTCCTATTAGGTAAGGCTTTGTTTCTGTTCTAAAGTTCTAGTGTTCTACGTGTATTGTTGGTTGGGAAGGAAAATACTTTAAGCATTGGAGGGCATTATTTTTCCTAGGACACAGCTGATTTGTGTTCTAGAAAAAGAATAGAATTTCAAAAATGTTTTTCATATTTAAAGTCAGTCATAATTTCAGAAGAGTTCTAGCTTTGTTTCAGATGAATTCTAAACTCTTACTCATCACAGTTGATAATCCCTGGAAGAGTAACCTTCAAATATAAATTCTGTCATTTAACATAAATGAAATTAAAAATAAATTCCAGGGGCTGGAGATTTAGCTCAGCGGCACAGTGCCTGCCTGGCAAGAGCAAGGTCGTGAGTTTAATTCCCAGTACCAGAGAAAAAGCAAAAAACAAAAAAAAAAATTCCAGAGTGTCATTTCTTGGGTAAACTGACTCATGCATAATGAAGTATATACTTGCATATTGGTTCTGACTAAAATACAAATGATCATCGGAACTAATTTTTTGTAAGGTTTATTATTTCTCAAGGTAGTATAGGGTAGCCCATTCATTTGGGACCCCTCCTGTCTCTCAGGAGCTTTTCTTATTCCCCATTCCCCATGCCTATTCTCCAATAAACTTTCCTACTTTTTTTTTTTTTTTTTCCCAGTACTGGGAATCAAACTCACGACTTTGTGCTTGCCAGGCAGGCGCTGTGCTGCTGAGCTAAATCCCTAACCCCTAAATTTTCCTCAAAAAAAAAAAAAAAAAAGTAGTATAAAGTTTGGCTTTTAAAATCAAACTTGTGAAAATTTTTTCCCATTTTATAATTAAGTCCAGAAATTGGAACCATTGATAGTTCATTTTTATATTTAATTCTTTCTTTTTTTTTTTTTTGGTTTTTCTCTGGTACCGGGAACTGAACTCACGACCTTGCGCTTGCCAGGCAGGCGCTTTGCCACTGAGCTAAATCCCCAGCCCCTTATATTTAATTCTTTCACATTATAATGAAAATATTTCACACTATCTTACCTTTTTTCAGAATGAAATTTACCAGGATTAGTACTCCCAAAAAATCTAAGAGAAGATTTAAGAAATCTGAAGCAACTGATGGAGACTTTACTTCTCAGACTAGAAAGGTAATTAAAAAGCTGAGTGTGATGGCACATGCCTGTATTCTAGCACTCTGGGAAGGTGAGACAGAGGATCTCGAGTTCGAGGTCAGCTTGTGCAATTTAATGACTTAGTGAGACTGTGTCTCAAAAAGTTCAAAAGGTTGGGGATGTTGGTTAGTGAGAAAGCCCTAAATTCCATCCCAAGTACCACCGCCGCCAAAAAAAAGTAATTAAAATATTGGAGTCTATATGTGATATTCTGTTTCCTTAAAAAACAATAACAGCAGCCAGGTGTGGTGGCACACACCTGTAATCCCAGCTCTCAGGAGGCTGAGACAGGAGGATTGCTACAAGTTCGAAGCCAGCCTGAACTCCTTAGTGAGAGCCTGTCTCAAAACAACAACAGTAACAACAACAATAACACACATACACTACTGAGTACAGTGGTGCACATCTATAATCCCAACAACTCAGAGGCTGAGGCAGGTAGATCACAATCACAAATTGGAGGCCAGCCTGGGCAACTTAGTAACTTTGTGGTTTATTTCTTATGTATCATTCTCCTTGTCTTGTCTTCCTTTATCTTTTTCTATATATGTACATATCATGTGATATATGCGTAAGTATATATGTACAATTAGTATATATGATGCTAATGTATATTACATAATGGTACTATATGTACTTACTTAGTTTTGACACAGTCTTGCAATATAGTTCAAACTGGCCTTGAACTCATTATGTAGTCAGGGCACCCTGAACTCAGTGGTATCAAGTGCTGGAATTATAGGCAGGTGCCACTACACCTAGCACACGCCTATCTATTTGTTACCTTCTTTCCTATCATATATAAGTCCCTGGAGGACAGAGTCTTTTCTTACTTTCTTCCCCATCATATGTAAGTTCCTTGTGGCCAAAGTCTATGTGTTGTAATATTCATTTTTTCTTTTTTTATATTCATTTTTTCTTTACAGCATCCAACCCAGAGCCCTGCATATGGTAGGGTGAATAATTGTATTTGGAAAGTACTGTACCTGAATTTGGTGAATAAAATCATGAAGATGGTGGGAAATACTGCATCTATCTTTCTGGGTGTTTTGGACACATGTAATATGTACAGTGGAACATTGGTTCATGAATGCTTGTGTTTGTGAACAGTTTGGTTCACAAACAGAAGCGTTCGGCAAAATTTTGTTTTTGTTTGCAAACTCTGCATTGGGTGATGAACACAACTGTGGCCATCTTTGCCAGAATTGTAGAACAAATGAAGTTCAGAAACCAAGGTACCACTGTATTTATCAGGAAACTTTCAAATAAAAAAGGCCAACTCATTATTACCTGCCTACATTTTAACTTACGATTCCTGGTAAGGTTTGAGTAAACATTTTTATGATTGTTTAATGTGATTTGCAGTTACATTTCTATTATTATATCGTTCTTTATTATTAAGTGGAAAGTATTAGCTGTGATCTAAGTTAATACTTCAATTTTTTGTTTAGGCAAACAGTACTTCAAAAAATATTTCAAAAGCCAAGCAACTGATTGAGAAAGCAAAAGCTTTACACATCAGTAGGTCAAAGGCTACTGAAGAAATAGTCATACCTTTAAGACGTTCTTCTAGGCATCGGACACTTCGTGAAAGGGAGAAATCATCGGAAACAGATGTAAGTGTTACAGCGGCTGTATTACATATACTGGTGTAAATTCTGTTCCGCTTTGTTCTTTGGAGTGGGAGAGGAAACCACTGTAAAGTTAGGAGGTAGCATTGTATGATAGCCTTGAAGTGGTAGAAAGAGTATCATTTGCAATTCTGTTTTAAAAGCCTTTCACTCCCTTTAGCTTATAAAACTGTCCAAATCTTTCTCAGTTCATGCAAGATTTTCATCAGCTAAACTGGCTCTTCCCTTTCCTCAAAGCATTTCTTTATAATATTCATACTATTCGTTTCTCCCATTTTTTATTTTATTGTCTGTTATTGTTATTTTGTTGTCTCAGCTTGAAATATACATTCCAAGTGCTGCATTTTGAAACAGGGTCTTGCTCTGTAGGTCAAGCTGGCCTTGGACTGATTAGGTAGCCTAAGATTGGTCTTGAACTCATGGTGATCTTCCAGCCTCAGCCTCCCAAGTACTGGGGTTACTGGCATGCACCACCATGCCAGGCATGCACAGCTTTTAAGATCATGTGAAATACAACTTTTCTTTTTTTTTTTTTCTTTTTGAGGCATGGTCTCGCTATATAGTTCTGGCTGGCCTTGTGCTCACTTTGTAGCCCAGGCTGGTCTCGAACTTGCAACGATCCTCCTGCCTCAGCCTCCCGGGTGCTGGGATTACAGGCTTGCACCACCACACCTGGCATGTTGTATAAAATTTAAAGTCAGTTCCTGAGTTTTAGTTGTCTGTGTTTTCTCAGTTCCTCCTGTATTGCCTTACACATGGGAGGTGCCCAGTAATATGGGCTGACCATAGGAAATATTAGTCCTCATTCTAATACAGTTCCATGATGCATAGTTCTGAAAGGGCTAACAGGAGTATGGCTATGGCTAGAGTTTCTATAGCTTTAGTCATACTGCTCCTTTTATTTGTAAAAAAAAGTTGCTTCTTTAAAAAGAAAGTTCATAACTGGGCAAGGTGGTGCATATCTACAATCTCAGCACTCTGGGAGGTTGCGGCAAGAGGATCACAAATTCAAACCTAGTGTGGGCAACTTACAACTTAGTGACTTAGCAAGGCACTGTGTCAAAATAAAAAATAATGAAAGGGCTGGGGATGTAGCTCAGTGGAAAGGCTGAGTTCAATCCCCAGTACAAAGAAAAAGTGAATTTTTCAACTAAAAGAAATTCATTACAGTAAAAGACGTGTTACCAGGCTGGGGATATAGTTCAGAGGCGCAGGACCTGCCTGGCAAGTGCAAGGTCCTGAGTTAGACTTTTGGTACCAAAAAAAAAAACCCCACAACACATTACCATTAATCTCCCACAAGACACTCCCCCTTGTTTCTTCTTGTTTTTTGCTACTAGGAATCGAACTCAGGACCTTGCTCTTGTCAGGCAGGTGCTTGTGCTGCTGAGCTATATCCCCACCACTTCCCCTTGTTTCAAATACCTGTTTGTTGCTCTCATGACTTCAGGATGCAGTTGTGAAAGTTCTTTTGTGTCTTTAGTTGTGCTGTCATGGCTGCCTTAATGTCCTGAATTGATTGAAAATTTTTACTCTTCATGATCCTTTTCAATTTGGGGAAGAGGGCCAGGAATACAGCTCAGTGGCTCAGTGCCTGCCTGGCAGGCTTGAGGTCGTGAGTTCAATTCCTGGTACCAAGAAAAAAAAAAAAAAAAATAAAACAATTCATGTATGAATTTGAGGGAGAGCCAGAATTTACATAGTGCCAGATGCAGTGAATAAGGTGGATATGGATGCACTGTAATGGTCTTATGAGCCTGCCTTTCTAGTAGGTGGCACTTAGTAGTAGTCACCATGTTTTTTATCACACCTCTTAAAGGTACAAAAGAGGACTTCCCAAATGCCTCAGAAACCGGTAAGAACAAGGGGATAGGTGTGTTCAAAGCTGGGGGAGTATTTTGAGGAGGATTCATGGTAATGTCTTTTGTTGTAATAAAGTTTTTAAAATTTACACATTGACTGTATAATCACCCCTTTTATATGTGGAGCTTTGAGCTGTATGAGAGGTTTTAGGTACCCACTGGGGTTATGGGAAGGCGTCATCCATAGATAAGGGAGACTACAGTATTTAAATTTTTGTTTTCTTACTTTGTTTTAGGACTCTGTAATAATAATAGATTCAAGTCCTACTGCTTCAAAAAATCCAGAGAAGAATCAGAAGAAACTACAGAGCTTGAATGATGTGCTAGGAAAAAAACTTAAAGAGTCTCCTAAAAATATACCTGGTAATCAGAATTAATACCTATTTGTTGAATAGTAGAATTTTGGGGGGATTATTCTGAATGTGCTCATGATACAAATTTAATCTCTTGTTTAGTAAGATGGAAATTTTTAATTAGATCCTATTTTAATAAGTAATATTCTGATGTGAAGTTTTTCAAAAGGAAATTGGGCATTTTTAAATTTCTTTCTTTTTTTTTTTTTTCCCCAGCACCAGGAATCGAACTCATGACCTTGCACTTGCCAGGCAGGCGCTGTGCCGCTGAGCTAAATCCCCAGCCCCTAAATTTCTTTTTGAGCATATTTAAAATTTATTTCATTTTTTATATGTCTGTTTAGCCTTAAATGAGTGACCCAAGCCTGACTCATCAAAAGAATTATCTGGGTCAGTTAAAACATTTTAAAAATGTTTTGGAATTACCCTAACGACATTGAATAAGAATCTCCATCAGTGGGTTGTCTATAGTTAAAAATAAAAGTTCTCCAGGAGGTTCTGATACTGTCAGGTTGAAGGAACAGATCATTATATAGATACTTTATAATTAAAAAAAAATTAAAATATGAAAAGATAGATGTAATGTTAAAAACAGTTGAAACGGAGGTGGTAAGCATTGATACTAACATTGAGTATTTATTTTTCTAAGGAAAAATGAAAGTTGCTCCTTTATTTCTTACCAAAAAGGCTGAGAAAACTACTGATCCTGTCCTTGTTTCTGATGAGAACAGGTCAGTCCAACACAGATATTAAAATGGGAAAATATTTTATGTATGCATTTTACATTTATTCATTTACTTTGATAAAGTATATAAATTATTTGACTCTTTAATAAGTTATTTATTAAGTTTTTTGAGATGGGTTTTTGCCATATCATTCAGGGTGGCCTTGAACCTACTATGGAGCCCAAGCTGGCCTCAAACTCGCAGTGATCCTTCTGCACAGCCTCCCAGGTGCTGGGGTAACTGGCATGTGCCACCATGCCTGGCAATAAATCCATTTTATTTTATTTTACTTTTTTATTTTAAAGAGAAAAAACCCCAACAAAATAACAACAGTGAAGACAAAAACAAAACACAAAAACAATAAAAATGATACAGGATTTCAAAACAAGATGATAGGGAATAAATCCATTTTAAAAGATGATAGTATTGACAATACTTCCACTGCTGTTTTTTTTTTTTTTTTTGTGGTACCAGGAATTGAACTCATGACCTCAGGCTTGCCAGGCAGGTGCTTATGCCACTGAGCTATATTCCCAGCCCCTTCACTGCTGTTAAAGATCTGGATTTTTGGCAAATGCTTTATGACCATCTCTAGACACAATGACAGAATAATAAAATCCAAAAGTCTGGCTGGATGTGGTGGCGTATTACTGTAATCCCAGCATTCAGGAGGCTGAGGCAGGAGGATCACTTCAAGTATGAGATCAACCTGGGCTACATAGTGAGTTCAAGGCCAGTCTGAACTGCATAGTGAGACCCTGTCTAAAAAAAAAAAATCCCCCAAAATATAGCTGGAGATCATGGTCCACACTTTTGATCCTAGCATTCTGAGAGGCTCAGGCTGGAAGCTCACAAGTTTAAGCCCAGCCTGGGCAATTTAGGGACTTAAGTGGGACGCTGTCCAAATTAAAAGTAAAAAGAGCTGGGAATATAGCTTAGTGATAGAATGTCCTTGGGTTTGAACCCCAAGTGCCATTTTATTTTATTTTATTTTACTTTTTTATTTTAAAGAGAAAAAAACCCAACAAAATAACAACAATGAAGACAAAAACAAAAAAAAAATGGTACAGGATTTCAAAACAAGATGGTAGGGAATAAGTCCATTTTAAAAGATGATAATATTGACAATACTTCCACTGCTGTTTTTTGGTTTTGTTTTGTTTTGTTTTTTGTGCCACAAAACAAAAGAACCCCATAAATATGAAAAAAGCTGATTATGAACTTCATTCAGTGCATGAGATTTTTTTTTTTTTTTTTGGTTTTTCTCCGGTACCGGGAACCGAACTCACGACCTTGCGCTTGCCAGGCAGGCGCTTTGCCGCTGAGCTAAATCCCCAGCCCTTTTTTTGTCTTTTTTGAGACAGGGTCTCACTATGCAGTTCAGGCTGGCCTTCAGCTCACTTTGAAATTTGTTTTTTTGGTTTTTTTTTTTGTACTGGAAATCAAACTCAGGACCTTGTGCTTGTGTATAACTGAGCTATATCATAAGCTTGAGCTTACTTTGTAGCCCAGGCTGGCCTCAAACTCGCAACAATTCTCCTGCCTCAGCCTCCTGAGTCTGGGGATTATAAGCATGTGCCACCATGCTTGCCTCAATGCATGTTTAAATATACAGTACATTATGTACAGCTGCTATTTTGGGTACTATGGATAGTATGGAGAACAAGACAGGACACATTCTCTGTCTTCAGTGAGGCCTCCAGTCTCGAGGGCAGACAGTTTATAGTTAAACATTAATTGGGTCATCAAATGAAAAATTGACACTGTGCTTAGGAGAAGTACAAAATGCGGTTAGAATTTACGTTGAGAGGTTAAGTCTGGTTAAGGAAGATTTCATGAAGAAATGACACTCAAAATCTAAAGGCAGAGCAATTCATCAGGGGAAAGAAGTGTGTTGTAGCCTGAGGGAGGTCTGTGCAAAGTACTTGTAACTAGAAGGAGCAGAGTAGATGCCAAAGACAGAATTCCAGTATGACTAGATCATCCACAGCAAGGGTGAGAGAAACATTAGATTAGGCCGGAGAGGTCAGTGCCCGTCGTGTACAATCTTTTTTGTTTTGGGGACAGGATCTTGCTGTGTAGTTCAGGGTGGCCTTGAGCTCACTGTGTAGCCCAGGCTGGCTTTAAATCTGCGACAATCCTTTTTACTCAGCCTCATGAGTGCTGGGATTAGAGGTGTGGACCGCCATCCATGGCTACATTTGCATTTTCCTGATGGCTAGTGATGTTCAACATCTTTTCATGTGATTATTGTTCATTTGTGTATCTTCCTTAGGGTAATCTATTGTTCATTTTTGTGTTGGATTGTCTTCTCACTGTGTTGTGAAGGATACTTTATACATTTTGGTTGTAAGTCCTTTGTCAGATATGTTCTGTAGATATGTTATTCCTAACTTTATAACTTGATTTGGGGATAATTGATATCATAACAGTGACTCTTCTGATTCAGGGTTATATGTATATCTCTGTAAGGCTTAAATTTCTTCTACTTGTGTTCTGTAGTTTTCAGTGAAAGAATGTTGGAGGTATTGTTAAATTTCTCTCTTAAGTCTCTCATGGAGGAAACCTCCTGTACCACTACATATTGATTGCAGGGTCTCACGAAATACCCAGCAGGGCTCAAACTTGGATTCCTGCTGCCTCAGTCTCCCAGAGTGCTGGGATTATAGGTAGACATCCACCACCATGCTAGTAGGAAAGAAATACACCTCTTTTCTAAGATTAAATTCTATCATCTAGATTCTGTTTTTAAGATTAATTCCTCTAATCTAACTTCAAGATTAATTTCATTTCACTCAAAGCAAAAAAAAAAACGCAAACAAATAGAAATTTTTATAGCATCTTTCTAATTACCCAAATAGAAATTTTTATAGCATCTTTCTAATTACCCACATTTCTCTTCTGGAGGACATTAACGTTCAGACTCTGGGGCAGGCTAGGAAGAACGTATAAGCTGTGACATGCACCACTGCACTTTCCCTGCACTACTCAGGCTTGCTTTCTCCCCTGCTCTCTCTGTCCCTCTTCTGACACTGGTCAGGATTTTTATGACTTGTCAGGTGTGGTGGAGCTCATTTGTAATCCCAGCAACTCTGAAGTCCAAGTCAGGAGGATTGTAAGTTGGAGGCCAACCTGGAAATTTAGTGAGACCCTGTCTCAAAATAAAAAGGACTGAGGATATAGCTCATTGGTTACGATTCAGTTCCCAGTATTGAAAAAAGAAGATTCCTATGTTCATAATCTGAAGTTAAGTCAGCTAAAATAGATATCAATAATAAGGGTCATAATTTTCCTGTTATATTGGAGCCAGTGTTATAGTACAGGTTCCTGTAAGAACTTTTGGGAAATGACATTGATTTTGTTTTCTGATTAAAATATATATGCATGTTTAACAACAACAAGACCCTAAAGCTGGGGAGGTAGCTCAGTGGTAGAGTGCTTGCCTAGCATGTGTGAATGCCGGGGTTCCATCCCCAACACTATAAAACAGAAAACAGAAGACGAGGAAGAAAACTCACCTCCCACCTAAAGATAGTTCCAGTTAACGTTTTGGTAGAAATCCTTCAAGATGTTTTTTCCTATACATATTTCTATACATAGTTGACATTTTAAAGAAATTTACATGATCACATTCATTATAGGGAATTTGTACCTGTACATGATGTAACTTTGACTTTTGTTTCTGTGATAAGAACTAACATCTTAGATGGCTGACTAAATTTTTTTTGTTTGTCTTTTTTGAGACAGGGTCTTGCTATGCAGTTGAGGCTGGCCTTCGGGTCACTTTGTAACCCAAGCTGGCCTTGAACTCATAGTGATCCTCCTGCCTCAGCCTCCCGAGCACTGGGATTACAGGCGTGTGCCACCATACCCAGCTTTGGCTGATTAATTTTTAAATTAAATTTTAAAAATATTTATTTTGTAAATAGCTTGTCTTTTCGGTGTTTATAACCTTAGTTTTTGTTTTTCAAATCATTTTCATAAAAGTCAAGATGCATCTGAAAAGTCTCAGGGTTGTGATGTACAGTGTAAAGCAAAGCGTGATTTTCTAATGAGTGGTTTGCCAGATTTGTTGAAACGACAAATTGCAAAGAAAACTGCAGCACTGGATATGTACAATGCAGTGGGTACCAGTTTCCAGACAGTTGTTCATATACAGCAAAAGGATGACGGTAAGTTTGTTATTATTGAATATTACTCTTTAACTTTTAAAGGTAATAGAAAAACTGTGTATGAGGCTGAGGTTTACCATATGTCTCTTATGGAATACGTATGTAATAAGTAGTGAGTGAATCTTTTGCACAAGTGTCTTATACTGTGGTACTAGTCTGATCATGCTGTAATTCTATTTGTGTCCAAATGCTGTACCAACCACAATCTTACTTATAATACTTATTTTAGTTTTAAATTATTATTATTATTTTTTTTTTTCTTTTTTTTAGGGGGGTGTCTTTTTGAGACAGGGTCTCACTGTGCAGTTTAGGCTGGCCTTGAGCTCACTTTGTAGCCCAGGCTAGTCTCGAACTCACATTGGTCCTCCTGCCTTAGCCTCCTGAGTGCTGGGATTACAGGCATGTGCCACCTCGCCTGGCTTATTATTGTTATTATTTGGTACTGGGAATCGAACTCAGGGCCTCACACTTGCCAGGCAGGTGCTGTGCCACTGAGCTATATCCCCAGCCCTTAAATTATTATTTTTATTATTTTCATTTTTTGAGACAGAGTCTCGCAGTGTAATTCAGGTTGGCCTTGAACTTACTGTGTACCCAGCCTGGCCTTGAATTTGTGGTGATCCTCCTGTCTCAGCCTCCTAAATGCTGGGGTTACTGGCATATACCACCACACTGGCTACTTAGAATTTTTAACTACTGATAATGTACAAAGTCTTTATCGTTACTTTGCCATTGTCCCTACTTTGAGATGTTTTTGATTGTGTTATGTTTTTTTGAAGCCCTAAACAGTTATGTTCATCTTAGTTGGCTTTGAAATTCAGTTCTGTGCATTTCCTCTGCCCATGAAATACAGATTTTATTCGGTTTTCCTTTCTTTTTCTTTTGTGTTTTTGACATTGATACTTTATGAGTTTTGTTCAGCCTGTCTTATCTTTCTTTTAGTGGTTCTGGGGATCAAACACAGGTCCTTGCACATAGTAGACAAGTGCTTTACCGCTGAGTTAAATCCCAGCCCTGTTCAGCCTTCTTTTTCCTTATGGAATTTTACAGCCAGTTTTTCTAATAATTTCTTTTGCTTTTTCTTATTTCACCTGCTGCCACTGACCATTTGGTTGATGAAATCTTTATTGGTGTTTTTCGTAGTACAAGTTTATATAACAGCCCTCCCTTCCCTCTTTTAGTGCTGGAATCAAACCCAGTTCCTTATGCACCTGCTGGGGAAGTGCTCTACCACTGAGCTAAACCTTATCTCAGTATTTTCTAAAAGTATGCTGAACTACAGAAATTAGTTACAGTTTTATTCCCATTTTCACAGGAGTGCTATCATTTCTACTTGTAGGCAATCACTCTCTTACGTCCTTAGGCATTACTGAGTACTTAATTATCTTGAGTCTCTCTTTTTTTTTTTTTT